ACCCAATATGGACAATCATCCTATGAAGATTGAACATTGTGGGTCAAATGAAACTTAAGTTATGCTCCGGAAACTTTTTTCATTATGAAGGTAATAGTGACCTTGACCTTTGACTTTGTGACCCCAAAATCAATAATGGTCTTCTACCCAATATGGACAATCGTCCTATGAAGTTTAAACATTGTGGGTCAAATGGAACTTAAGTTATGCTCCGGAAACTGTTTTAAGTATCAAGGTAAAAATGACCTTGACCTTTGACCTTGTGACCCCAAAATCAACAGTGGTCTTCTACCCAATATGGACAATCATCCTATGAAGTTTGAACATTGTGGGTCAAATGGAACTTAAGTTATGCTCCGGAAACTGTTTTCAGTTTTAAGGTTATATTGACCTTGACCTTTGACCCTTTGACCTTTACATCAGTAGGGGTCTTCATCCCAATATGGACAATCATCCTAAATTTTTAACATTGTGGGTCAAATAGAACTTAAGTTATGCTCCGGAAACTGTTTTCAGTATCAAGGTAATAGTGACCTTGACCTTTGACTTTGTAACCCCAAAATCAACAGTGGTCTTCTATTCAATATGGTCAATCGTCCTATGAAGTTTAAACATTGTTGGTCAAATGGAACTTAAGTAATGCTCCGGAAACTGTTTTAAGTATCAAAAGGTAATAGTGACCTTGACCTTTGACCTTGTGACCCCAAAATCAAGACTGGTCTTCTTTCCAATATTGACAATCATCTTATGAAGTTTGAACATTGTGGGTCAAATGGAACTTGACCTTTGACTTTGTGACCCCAAAATCAACAGTGGTCTTCTACTCAATATGGTCAATCGTCCTATGAAGTTAAAACATTGTTGGTCAAATGGAACTTAAGTTATGCTCCGGAAACTGTTTTCAGTATCAAGGTAATAGTGACCTTGACCTTTGACCTTGTGACCCCAAAATCAACAGTGGTCTTCTACCCAATATGGAAAATCATCCTATGACGTTTGAACATTGTGGGTCAAACGGAACTGAAGTTATGCTCCGGAAACTGTTTTCAGTTTTAAGGTAATAGTGACCTTGACCATTGACCATTTGACCTTAAAAACAATAGGAGTCTTCTACCCAATATGGAGAATCATCCTATGAAGTTTGAACATTGTGGGTCAATGGAACTTAAGTAATGCTCCGGAAACTGTTTTCAGTATCAAGGTAATAGTGACCTTGACCTTTGACCTTGTGACCCCAAAATCAATAAAGGTCTTCAACCCAATATGGACAATCGACCTATGAAGTTTGAACATTGTGGGTCAAATGGAACTTAAGTTATGCTCCGGAAACTGTTTTCAGTATCAAGGTAATAGTGACCTTGACCTTTGACCTTTTGACCTTAAAATCAAAAGGGTCTTCTACCCAATATGGACAATCATCCTATGAAGTTTGAACATTGTGAGCCAAATGGAACTTAAGTTATGCTCCGGATACCAAATTGCTAACGGACGGACGGACGGACAGACGGACGCCAGGGGGTATAACATAATATGCCCTTTCAGGCATATGAAAATGAATGTTTATTTATATGTGCATGTAGAATTAATCTAAATCTTGAAAAACTTTGTGTAAGCTGCTTGTGGTAATGGTCAAAGGCAATGACATTACAGATTTAGTGAGAGAAAAACTCTGAGAAAAAAAGATTCTGTAAAATGGCGGTGCTGACGCCTGATTGGACGAACACTTATTCGTAAGGCGGCGCTAATCTTCAGTAACCCGTCCCGGGTATTTTTTTTTTCCAAGTTAATTCCCTATTGCCTTGCAGTGCTTCATTAAATACTCTTCAATTGTCCTGCCAAAGGTCAAGGGCGATCTTATTCTATAAATAGAACATTCGTTTAAAATAATTGCTATAATTATCTAATCCTTAATATTGCATATTTATCAAACTTTTAGAATAGCATCGCTTTGAAAAATATGTTTATCCAATGGTTTCCAGTTTTGTATCTAGGATATTATATTTAAGTCGTTGCCTTACTTTTTGACCAATGAGATGACAGTCTGTTTTCTTCAGCTGCTTCTGTTTATCTGGATAAACACAACGTGCGTCTACGAAAAGTAGGTCTATGTTTGTTTTACGCTTTTAAAGCAGCATGCCTCCAGATTCATGCTAATTTTCATGAAAATTTTGAAAATGTATTTAAAATTAAAATATTGTGAATTGAACAAAGAAAGTAATTAAAACATTGCAAACGGCACTTACAATCGACGTAATTACCAAAAAGGGGTCAACATATGCATAAACACCTCTTACTGCGTTAGTAGCGCATTAGAATTATAGTGATTGATACTGCAAAATCAGTCATAAATCGCACATAACATGTAAATGGTTAATTGAATATTGAATCTTGTAACTTTCCTTGAGATCATAATACATTTTCCTAAAGATTGAATCCAAAAGGTTACTCATTGGCAAATTACCTGATTTTTACTTTGCTTCTGTTGCTTTCTGGACATAAGTACAGTTATAGACAGAATAAGTATTTTGTATGAAAGTTAAAATACTACTTTGTTTACATTTTGCTACTTTTATGATAAATATTTTCACATTTAGCGCTACTTTCCTCAGGTTATAATCATTTTACATGCTCTTTAACTAATGTTTAAACATTTTTTGCCCTTTCTTAAGAAGGAAAAATTTCTTCGTTTCCGAGACATAATGTAATAATTTGAGCTGCGTCACGACAAAACCAACATAATGGGTTTGCGACCAGCATGTATCCAGACCAGCCTGCGCATCCGCAAAGAACAGCATGGGTTAGAAATGAGGTATTCACACTACAGAAGGAAAACAAAGAATTAACAAGCAAAGTCCAGCAGCTGATTCGGGATCGGGACAGACATAAAAAGGTAAATACATGTACATGCAATTATGTATTTCATTTTTTTAATCCATTACAAGCTATATATCTGGAATGGACTCGTCCATCTATCAATCTAGACATAACTATTCGTCATATTTAGGGAAAATTTGACAACTATGTACTGACCAAATATCGAACGGTGCAGACCATAATCAAATTGCACGCATGCGCAGGCTGATCGTGGTCTGCACAGGTCGCAGGCGTAGAATTAGTTGTCGTCTGCTAGAAGGATTTATTTTTCGAATAAGATACCTAAAAAGAATTGCGACATAGCGATATTATGTGCCGTTGCCACTGCAGGGACTGATAAAACTCAAGCCCCAAAACAAGGAAACAGAAACAATGATGATGATTTTTTGCGTATATTAGTGGAACAGGTATATGTTACAATATGTTTTCAGCGTTATATAAGGAACGTTTATAATAACATGTATACATGTTTATTTTGATTTTATTCAAGGCGGCAGCAAATTTATGAATGTTCAGCTTTGCTCCAAATAAATAAAACCTGCAGTTGTGCACATTTTTTTAAAAAGATTTTTGACAAAATATATGGTTATGTATAAACGATTGTTTGCTATACACGCACTGCCATTTATAAATACGGTCCAAAATATAAAGTAATGACGAATCGAAGACAGTTTACAAATAACGAGACAAACACTAATTTTTATTGATATTATTTAGTCTCAATCTTGGCATACAATCTTAATAAATAATATTTCAGCGCTGTTGCTTTTAAGATATGTGACGAAAACAACAACATTGAAGAGCGAATAGTAAATTCTGATCGCATGCCAGGAAGCATTACCATACCGCAATCGCATCCTGGAACGCTGGGAATTCAGAAACGTAAGTGACGTCAACGTGTTGTAAAATACACGTTAGAATAAAAATTTTAATTATATGAATACACAGGGCGATAATTATTAACCAATGCAAGCATTTCCATAGTGTATTTAAAAGATACTCCTGAAGACGAGATACATGTAAAACTGCTTTAATTTGCTTAAGTTATTTCGGAGTTATGTAATAAACTCCTTTAGATTATTTTATAATTTAGACGTTTATACGTTTCAAATATATTATTAATATGATTATTAATATGATACCCTGTATATCAATTTTAGTCCTGCTTCCACTACATGTAACACTTACTAGTTTATCTTGAGAACATCGGTTGAAAAATTAACACTACAATAAAGTATATAAATGAAGAAACTTGTTATTTTTTCTTCGTTTGTTTGTTTGTTAGTTTTTATTGGGTCTTCATATGAATTATGGTTACATTGTATCTATCTTTAATGTGATGGTGGTTGATAGAAACACTTTAACTAAAACCCGATGTATTACCATTTAATTGATACTTTTATCATTTATGTTTTGAGAAAGTCCCCAATTTATTCCTTATTACGAAATCCGTTTACGAAGTCCGTTTAAGATTCAGGCAATACTCAGTTCTTCACCGGGAAGTCAAAACGTTCTCAGACGGACGTCGTCCGAAAAATGTACTATAGTATCTATTAACTGATAAATAATTAACATCAGAAATATGACATGGTTTATACAGGGGTGATAGTTGATATTATAACCCGAGAACTGGCATATTACTCCGAGGGCATATTGATATACATTTGCCAAATGGGGATATAAGGAATCTGCTGCATATAAAAAAAGATGTTAGTACTACTAGAAAGTCTTTAAGTTATCTAAACCATCTCACCGTCATAGACAAGTTGTGTTCTTTAAATGTCATACCTGCGTGAATGATTTAGTAAGATAATTCTATCAAGGGAAGTAACTGCTTTAATCAATCTTTTCAAACTTAAAATCAGTTGTCTCCCTTGTATTAGATTAAAAGCATAAGAGTATGATTACAAGAACAAGTCAAGGCAATGTTTATTGGATGGAGGGAGACTATAAATCCGTAGTAACCGGTTTGTTTCTCCGCTACTCAATTTCAATTTACAAAATTTTAAGTATTCCGTATTTTGCACGGTTAAGTTGTGTGGAATTGAAACCTCAAGAAAATTAAATTACTTTAATCAGGAAAGGTTTCAGCTTTCATCATGTTCATTGTTGACGCAAAGCAGATATATGTCATTTTTTTTATTCTATTCAGTTTCAAAAAGCAAAAACCCTGAAAATACGGATCGCCTATACCCGTACAAAACTCCTCCTCTAGCGTCGGACCTAACAAATACGTCCGCACCTTGGTTGACTTCGATTATAAACTCTTCATTGGCCGACTCGTAGTCCTCGCTGCTCGGTATTTCTATCCCTAGATCAAATGCTACTTTACCGTCTACAACTAGCTCTAGATGGAGCTTGTGTCGTGGCGGTACTTTCATTTTTACGGTGAACACATAAGCGCCCTTGTATGGAGCAACAAAGATGCCAGAATTCGAGTGATAAGCATTTCCAATGTTAGTAACTACGCTGTCGAAAATCACCGTCTGATGTGAACCAAGATGTGGAATTTGATTGGATAATACCGACGTGAATGCAACTCTTCCGTCCGCGGGTATCTGCCCTGCGATTGAGAGACAAATGAGCCGTGTTACGACAAAACCAACATAATGGGTTTGCGACCAGCATGGAACCAGACCAGCCTGCGCATCCGCGCAGTCTGATCAGGATCCATGCTGTCCGCTTACAGACCATGTAACAAGTAGAGAAACTAATAGCAAACAGCATGGATCCTGATCAGACTGTGCGGATGCGCAGGCTGGTCTGGATCCATGCTGGTCGCAAACCCATTATGTTGGTTTTGTCATGACGCGGCTCAAATCATAAAAGCATAAAGTAAATGATGCAAGTGCATTTTTTACGCACTATATTTAATTCCTTAACTATTTAATTAATCACCGGCGATGCACAAGTGTTAGAATTAAGATATTTACGTAGGAAAAATCAACAAGAACAACAGACGCGTGCATACACACCCACAGACACTTGGGATGTGGAGCTCCCAAACGCTTTAAAATAAAAATGTATATTTCTCAATCCCAGCACATATACTTATCAATTTATCATATATGTAAAAAATGTTAATATAAGCGGTTTTGAACATCTATAATAGTGTATTATTACAGATGTTGAAATATGATCTTTTTTATCAAAACAGCTTATATTAACATTTTTTGACGTATATAATAAGTATATGTGCATAATTTTATATTGAACACAAATGAAACAACAGCATCCCGGTTTTTACTCTGCTATTACTTTATAAGCTTGTTGTTTTTTTATCTTACATTCAGAATAAATTGCTGACGTCATTTTGTCATATGGTATACATGTATAATTCATTTGAACATGATTTAAGTTATTACCGCGTTTTACATACTTTTAAATGATTAAACACAACTTTAAACAATCATGAAACAAAAAGAATAATTTAAAATTTGATTTTAACGTATTTTACAATACGCTGACGTTACTTACTTTTCTGATTTCCCAGCGTTCCAGGATGCGGTTGCGGTATGGTAATGCTTCCTGACATGCGATCAGAATTTACTTTGTGCTCGCCAATGTTGTTGTTCTCGTCACATATCTTAAAAGCAGCAGCGAAGAAATGAAATATTTATTAAGATTGTATGCCAAGATTGAGACTAAATAATATCAAGAAAGAATTGTGTTGTCTCGTTTGTCTCGTAATTTGTAAACTGTCTTCGATTCGTCATTACTTTATATTTTTGGAAGTATTTATAAATGGCAGTGCGTGTATAGCAAACAGTCGTTTATACATGACCATATATTTTGTCAAAAATCTTTTTAAAAAGAAATGTGCACAACTGCAGGTTTTATTTATTTGAAACAAAGCTGAAAATTCATAAATTTGCAGCCGCCTTGAATAAAATCAAAATAAACATGTATACATGCAATTATAAACGTTCCTTATATAACGCTGAAAACATATTGTAACATATACCTGTTCCACTAATATACGCAAAAAAATCATCATCATTGTTTCTGTTTCCTTGGTTTGGGGCTTGAGTTTTATCAGTCCCTGCAGCGGCAACGGCACATAATATCACTATGTCGCAAATCTTTTTAGGTATTTTATTTGAAAAATAAATCATGCTGGCAGACGACAACAGATTCTACGCCTGCGACCAGTGCAGACCACGATCAGTCTGCGCATGCGTGCAATCTGATGATGGTCTGCACCGTTCGCTATTTAGAAAATTCTACCTAAATATGATGAATGGTTATGTCTAGACTGAAAAATGGACGAGTCCATTCCAGATATAAAGCTTGTAATGGATTAAAAAAAATTGAAATACATAATTACATGTACATGTACATGTATTTACCTTTTTATGTCTGTCTCGATCCTGAATCAGCTGCTGGACTTTGCTTGTTAATTCTTTGTTTTCCTTCTGTAGTGTGAATACCTCATTTCTAAGCTGGTCAGTTTCTATTCTGTACGTTGCCTTTACGTTCTTTAATTCATCAACAATCGATTGAATAACCGGTATTACCGTGTCGTCATTTAACTCGACGCTGAATGAATTCTGACAGAAGAAAACTATCACAAAAGAAACATAGGTTAGATTCAACATCATGTTTAGTGATAGTAAATTTAAGTTTTTATAAAGAAGGTCAAATTTGTAAAGATAAGACGTTATCTTTAGATAGTAAATAGGAACAGCTAAGAGATATCAGACTATCTCGCCACTCCTCTACCACTGCCCCTCCCCCCCCCCCCCCCCCGAGGGCAGAAGGGAGTCATTTAAGCGCAGTAAACAATGGACTTTGTCATGTTACCAGGGATGTCATAAAAAGAGTATAAATATAGCTGTACTAGACTTCAAGGGAACCCGGGGGTCATACTCCACTTGCCAGGCCTTCGTTAATTCTCTGTAATATTTATTGCTTCATCACGACCGGGATATTTGTATAAGTCATAAACTTGGTTCGTGATTTAAAAAAAAATCCCATTGATACTAATTAATTGTTAGTAAGTGGGATTTTTTATTAGTTTTGAAATGGTTTTATAATAAGATGGATTACCATTTGTATAAAATGCTAAAAGTTTTTGTTTTTATTGACAGTTGACGAGACAGATCATCCGGGGCTGAGTCTGCATGATCTCCACCCTAATTTAAGTGTCTGTGATTAAAAGGACTAAAATTGATTTGTAAATTGCTAAATAATAAAGATACTCTTTTGTAAACTTTACAAATAATAAACTTTACAAAAAATAGCACAAGAACTTGAAGCTGCGTGATTGTACAGTTTTTCCTTTACTGTATTTTACATAGAATTGTTGAAATTGAAAACATACCTACAATATATCCACAATGTATTATATTATCAAATAAAGGGAGGGCTTTTGTCCGCCCAGTCATTTTCATGGGAGGGCTTTTGTCCGCCCTGTTATTTTCATGGGAGGGCTTTTGTCTGCCCTGTTATTTTCACGGGAGGGCTTTTGTCCGCCCTGTCATTTTTTGACGGGAGGGCTTTTGTCCGGGAGGGCTGGCTTTTGTCCGTTTCTCCAAATAAAGTGCTAGAGGCTATGTTAGGACAATAAAAGAGTGGATGTGATCCACTGGCGTTAATTATGCTGAGCCCCAAAAGTTAAAACGACTGAACACCGATTTTATCGTCATTGATATGGTGGGGTTGAAAATGGAATAATAATGAGACTAGCTTCAAAAATATAATGGCATCATGATAAATTTGTACCAGTAAAGGTTTACAACTAAAGTAACAGGATGTGTCCGTGTTACAAGTTATCTTTTTCGTAATATATGCACGTTCTTATTATTTCTTGTATGATAATTTTTATATATTGACATGGACGTTCTTCGTGATCAAATTCGTCACAATAAATTTAAAGAAGGAAGCTTCCAGATTCATAACAATTTTCACAAAAATTTTGAAAAAGTATGAATAAAAAAGTAAAAATATTGTGAAGCAAACAAAAAAAGTAATTTACACATTGCAAAGAGCACTTTCAAACAGACATCATAATAATAGCCCTTTTAATGCGTTAGTAACGCTCCAGAAATATGGTTGCATAAACAACTGCAAAATAAGTCATTAATCGCATATAACATGTAAATCGTTACATGAATTGTGAATCTGTTTACTTTCCTTGATGTCTTTGTACTTATTTTCAAGTTTAATTTTCTTGAAAAAAGGTTGGCTCATCTGGAGTCATGCAGTTTTCGTTTTATAGTTCACCAGCGCCATTAATTCGGAATCATTGTTTAAAAATGCAACACGAAGTTAAAGAATAATAATTGATATCCAGCCCTTAATTAATTAAACATATTCTGGTTCCCGGCATCTAACAATTCTTTTGTGTAGCGAAAGGGGAAGGAACTCCAGACTACCCTTAAACATAGCATAACCTCAGTGGTGTCCCTTTCATTGAACTACTCTCAACATAAGGCTGTGGAGGCGACTTGTTAGGTTGTAAACATCATGTAAAAACATTGTTATTCATGAGCGCACACTTCACAATGATAACTTAAAACACAACCTCGGACAACTGCATCCTATTGAGTAAATTCTTGTACTAATTATGATTCGATGGTCTATAGATACAGTCTCGGTCAACTGCCTCCGATACTCTTTTCGTTGGCTCAGTGGAATAGAGCATCATCTTCATTATAAACCAATGGTTGCAGGATCCTGAAAGCGAGTTCGAATCTAACGCATGGGCGGGTTTTTTTCTCTAATGCATTCGTATCTGTTTTACGAATTTAAAATGTTCCCCAGGATACAGGTTTACTAGGTGGTCAATTAAAAAATAAAGAAAAAAAGAATACACAAATGACTTACTAACAACAGTTTTTTTTTACAATTTTTAAAAA